AGAGAGAGAGAGAGAGAGAGAGAGAGAGAGAGAGAGAGAGAGAGAGAGAGAAGGATGTGATCTCACCTTGCTGTTCGGGGCCGGCCGGAGCGCCTTCTCTGTGTCGCTCACGTTGTCCTTGTCCTCGAAGTACAGGTGGCTCTTGAACTTGACCAGAGGCTGGGGAAGCAACACGGGAAACAATATTAAGATAGTGAAATAGCATTCGAGAAAGAGAAAGTCAAGTGCATCGACACAATAAAAGCAATTTAGTATTCAGTAAAGTAAGTGCATGGGTTTAACGCCCCCTACCAACACTATTAGGTTATTTCCACCTAGCATTGGTTTATTTTAGTTTTCGTTAGAGTCTTACCGCACTTGCAATTCAGATAGGTTACGAAAGTGTCAGGGATTAGAGGTATTACTCGACAGTAATACCAGAGCCCCCATCAAACACCCACATTTAGCATTGGAAAAAAAACAACAACAAAAGAAGCAGACTGAAACAAGAGGGAGAAATAAACGAAAAATGGCCCTTCAGTGACATCCTACAACCACCCGAGGGTCCAGTATGAAATACTTATAACACCCTGCGAGTAAGAAAATTGGATTACGTGTATGCTGCAAATTACATCATTCCCTCACTGAGCTTAATGGATTGCGAACAAGGACGCAAGTTACCAGAAAATGATCAAGTGTAAAGCGTCGTCCAAAGTCAAAAGAGTAAACACAAGCTGAAAAATGTGTGTGTGTGTGTGGAGGGGGGAGGGGGGGGGGGACGGATCCCATGCCTGAGCTACCAAGAAGTAGGTACCGGAACCAAGGACGTTGGTTAAAACTGGAGTAAACGTGTTCTTGTGAATAAATAGTATCTATTCTGCGAAGAGTATCGGTGGACTGATAATAATGATGGAGTCGCGATAAACTAGAAGTAGAAGACACCAAAAAGAAAAATAATAACTCTATGGAAATGAGCCTCATATCATACGACACACGCCCAACAATCTTGCTTTTCTGTGGACGCAGACTGAAACAAAACTCAAATGTATTTACATACACATACACATGCTCAGTGTGTGTGTGTGTGTGTGTGTGTGTGTGTGTGTGTGTGTGTGTGTGTGTG